CTTTGAGCTTCAAGCCAATATCCTGACATTGATCAACTGGTACTACTGGTACAATTAGTACATTAGAGTTGGGTAACTCTGTTGCGCTGACCACGACAAGATCTGCAAATGCACACTTTAGATAGTACAGGATGTAGATCCATGCAATACATTCTGCACATACATGTTGGCTCACATTGAAAAGGCGATGACAATCCCGTCCGATAGTGACATCAAAGAACTGCCCGAACAGTGTGGAATGCCAGGTCAGCGCTACTTCAGCAACTTTCTGATCCCTTGGCAGTCTGCACAGGCATGGTGCCGCAGTCCCTCATGACAGGTCTTGAAATGGTTGAGACGAAGTATAAAAAAATGCTGACAGGTGGTAGGCACACTAACGACAAGCAGCTATTTAGACATACATGCATCATTCCAACCATGCTCAAAACTGCTGTTCGGCTCACTTGTAAGAAGATAGCTACTGTACCTTTTTGCAAGCCTGATATGTTCATTGGGACCATGGGGACCCTAAGGAGCTCAGGATTTGCAGTCGCTAAATTACCTTTTTCACTTCGGATCGACGCCATCCTCAAGTCTTTGCCCAGTCGCTTGCTCCGCTTTTGGTCTCTCAACGATTTTAAGCCATCAAAAGTTTACCCAGCAGCATCCAGCAGTTTTCCGTGGTTGACCCACAAGACAGTGAGGGGCCGGCGCCGGCGCCATGTCGTCGGAGCCGAAGTTTTATCGTCTGGATCTTGTGAACCTGGGAGAACTCTTTGATCCAGATGTGCCCTTCTCTGCTCCCTTGCTGCAATGTATTGCACTGTCGGAAAACACTTTTGGGTAGGGATGGGATGGACAGATATTGATGGAGAACGTCGTGCTTTTTCACAGGTCTGACAATGCCTTCTTGCCTCAAGCACATGAAAAATGAGGTTTTAAAGGTGGCCATTTCCTGTACTGGTAGAATCCCATTTATGTGTTTTGTTAACAGAAGCCCACGGATATCACGGCAACGGCAATCCATTCAGGAGTGGTGCAAGAAATGTCAGTCGGCCGGTGACGATGGCTTTGGCACTAATCGACTGCAAGACCTTGCACCAGATTTGACGCCATTGGAGCACACAGAGAGGATTTGCGGAACGTTTCTGGCCACAGATTGGATACCTTGGATATTTTGGATACCCAAAGGTCTACCCAATCCCCTGGCCAAGGGAAATTCATGGAAATTCTGTAGCCATCACTTTTAGCCCCTTGGGACGTGAGAAAGTCAAAGCTTCACACCTGTGAACGGTGGACCGGACCGTTTACTGAACACGAGCACCTTGATTCGCCTTTCTATCCTTGATGGAGCGACATGTTGTAGCCAAATGCTATGCCCCACGCCCCACGCAAAATGTGGCAACATCTTGGCTTTGCAACTGAGGCTACTGTACATTAACCTTAGTGGTGCTGGAATTGTGTGGCTCAGTCTTGCCTTGATTTGCAACTTGTCATGAGCTGGTGCTGAGATGGGAAGCATCGGATGCCCTCCAAAAGGGATCACTTTTGAGGTAAGCCTGACTGTTTGATGTTGTTTGTGCCATTTTCAGCTAGTTGTCGCATCCTGGCCAATGACTCGAGCGGAGTTGTGCTTCAAGTGTTTGTGGCACTGGAGCGAACTGTTGTGTCCATTGTTTGCCATGACGAGGGTTTTTGTCCATTCTTCGTCTTGGTATAGTATAGGCAGTATAGGTGTTTGGAGGATAGACAGCTTCGATTCTACGTCAAGTTGTTCATGTCCCGCAGAAAACTGAGATGGACTCGTGAGGTTACTGTTGCGGGTGGTACCACCCAGCACGGTCCTTTGCGATGTACACTCTGATGCCCATCGGCATTTGGCTGGTGATCTACATCCTATATGACCGCTCGAAGGATTCTCGTTACGGCATCCATCACAAGAATCTCAGCTGATTTGGCAAATCAGTAGATTTTGAAAGATACCGTGTTCAGTCCACGGTCTCTTCATCACGGCAAACTTCAAAGACAGCGTTCTGGAGTTCATAAAAAGATGGCAGGGCAATTCGCCGCTTTGATAGTCTTGGTTGATTCTTTTGTGAGGTCCATTTCTTTCTTCAACATAAGCAGCTGAACATGTAGAAGGTTGCTTGCAGTCACTTGATGACTGCAAGTAGCATCAACAATTGTACCCCTCGGAAATGCAAAAAGCCTGTGCGGCCACATCATGACCACACGCAATTATTCTGCATCCAAACAGCATGATGACAAGTTTTGATAGTGGTTCCTAACAATCTTTACCGGAGAATTGCTGCGAAATCCAAGAGAAGACTCTTTGCAATATCTTGCAATCGCATATTTCCGAAACTCATGACCAAGGAATCAGCACAAATATTTGCATCTGAAATATGTCTGGCCTGTTGAGCTGCATCCGTCGGCCAAAAGAGAAGGCCCTTTGACTCTCGGCCAGTTGACTGGTGGTGGAGCTACCGACTGGAAGAGGATGTAACAGGACATATTCATGGCGTGGATTTTCTTTCCTGAAGTTCTTGGTTGATTCCTGAGTTTGGACTTGTGAGGGTCATGAGATGTTATGAGCATGTCGCTCCCTGCTTCCAAGGATTTTCTGCATTGTTCCCCACGGGGTGATACCATTGGGAATCTTGGCTTAGCATCAGTCCGTAATTACTGCCATGACAGGTTTGACCGTCACTGTTGAGCTCAGAAAAGTCAAATGCTTGTGCAGCTATGTGAAACTCATTGAAACTCCGCTAGGCATCGACTATGCGATGTTTGACAAGTTGGGAGCTGGTCGGTGCAACTGGGTAGCGGCGCCCGTCTTGTTCCTCGGCGGCTGTGTTGGAGAATGTGTTCATTCCCCCCAAAATAATCCCAAAGAATCCGAAATCCGTAGTGTCCCCTTGCAGCACAATTACAACCAACGTATGTGCAGGTTTGTTTGCAGGCATGCATGTACTGTCTCCTGATTCGTTCAGCAAACGGGGCTCTTTGTGGGCTTTTGTTCTGCTGTTTTTACTTTACTTCAGTATATATTCTGTCCAGCAAGCACACCACTCTGTTTGGCTCAAGCGTTTCTTAGGCAAATCTGTCATGATTTATTGTTTATCTTGGTTTTTCTTATTTCCACTTAAGTTTTGGACAAGATGAATATTATTAAGATTGAAGGTTTTTTTTGGATCGTACAATTGTCTGTGGTGGCATTCAGGTTCTATCAGAGTTTTGCATCAGATATGAACAGGTTGAAGGCCACCTTTGGATCTTGCATTTTATTTGTACCAGATTCCATTTCAGGTTTGATGAGGCTTCCTTGTCCCGATTCCCGATCTCAGATTCAAAATTTGCACGATGGCTTTGCCAGATTAACACTTCAATCGAAGCTGCAATGGAGGTATGCTTCCTTGTATCTGGCCAGGGGGTTGCCTTGCTTGACACGGCCGATTTCGGAAAATTGGCCAAGGCAGTGAAGCAAACTTTGGCAACTAAGATGGGTATCTCCAGGTTCAGGCAAAAACTCTTTCTGCAAGGTTATTTTTATGAGATCCCGAGATTCTAGATGATGAGGCTTTTGCGTCCGCACCTGTAAAAATTCAGCTGGTTGTCTTGGAATTCTGCCCGCCAGTCGGCAGTGACAGTCCGAGTCGGTGACAGACCTGAAAATGTTGGCAGAGATTGACTAATCCGGGAATACTTTGAAGACGTTTCAATCCGGGAAACGTGCTGGTGGAAGATGGTCTGTTCATGAGAAAAGATATCTCCTTCGGGGCGTTGGAAGAGTACACAGGCAACCAATTGACATTGCAGTAGCAACAGTTTCACTTCAGTTGAAAGCCCCAAGCAAAGGTTGCGGCAAAGCGAACAGCTGCATTCCTCAAGTCAATTCTCATACTCCTCATGCATCTTGTGCCCAAAGAAATGGACCCGGATACAGGGTGATTTTGTGCACTTTTAACCTGCTTTTACTTTGGCATCACTGTGGGTTGCGCCCCTCCCAGGTTCAAATTACCATTCTTCCGAAGCTATTTGGAGCGAGTGGGTGCCATGCCAGCCAATGCGGCCAACATCAGGGCTGCCTTGGCAAGGACCACGGTCACCGGATTTTCTCACACATTCGCAAACTATATATATAATTATATAGATATATAATAATATATATATATATAATTATATATATATAATAATATATATATATATATTCGCAAACCACATTCTTGAATAATTATTCTTCTTATGTTACATACGTATGCATACGTATATAAGATGCGGATGTATGCGGATGTATGTTTGGAGCTATTTATTTCCTTGAGACAGCTTGTGCCTGCAAGCTTGCAGGAACGAAAACGTGGCCATTGTTTTAGACGGGGTCGCCGGCATGTTCCAAGCAACTACAGAGCGTCAAGAAGTGGCCTATCTTCTGAAGAGAAAAGGCCGGCGCATCGAATCGGGGGACCGTAGTATATCACGTTTCACTTGACGAGTGACTTCAAAACTTAAGCATGAACAATCACTCCCAGACTCCCAGGTCTTGCAGTCTTTGTTTCAACCCAGCTCAACCATGCTAAAGCCATCCAAAGCCCACATTTGCTGCACCCCCTAATCAAAGTATCATGCCTTCTGAGGTGCCGCCAAGATACTCAAATCATGTTAGCTGCACCAATCGAAGAAGAATCCTAATGTGGGTAGATGAATCCCTGACCTGTCATTTTCACCTGGGTTGCCGTGCCCCATGTTGGGTTGGGAGTACAGGCATTGTGAAGTTTGCTTTGGAGAGTGGGGCATCGCTGGTGCCTGTTTACGGCTTCGGACATTCTGAACTGTGGACCAAGCTCTTGGAGACTCGTCAGCTTTAAGCCGACTTTAGTTTAGTTGGAAAGGGACAACCCACAAGGTTCAGCCATGTTCAGCCATGTTCAGCCTGAATGGTGGAGCAGTTCTTGTGTTTGTTGCTATGTATTTATGCTGCTGTCATCGTCGTTGACGATGTTTTTTTGATGATGACAACGACGCCGATGATGATGCTTGTCGCTTTGCTGCTGAGTGGAGGGAGCATGGGCTGAATCACAACGGACAGGATCCATTTCGACTATTTGAACGGATATCGACTTCTTTGGACATTTCCCTCGTGCCTTTCTTTGGGCTTGGTGGTTGGCCTTTGGGCCCGACAAACCGGGCCGGGAGCCTCAGGGCACGACCAGGTGGACTTCTGGAAAAAGTCTTGCTGCCTGAAGTGAGTGTTTCTGCCACAGTTGCTGGAAGATCTGGAGGATGTTTGAAGCATCAGAGCCTAGGATGTCAGGGTATATGCATGGCTTGAAAGAAGTACCAGACAGCAGAAGGCTAACAGCAATGAAACCACTGAAGAGTCTGAATTCCAGCTGAGCCAGGAGATTTTGAAAACTCGTAGCACCAAATCCCAACTCTGCCCAGGTTCCACTGGCGATGGTTTTCGGGCAGCCGCTAGAGTGCCCCCAAAAGTCACGTGGCAAACCCGTTATGAACGAAAACGTTGTACAAGTTGCACCCAAACTTTTCTAGTCTCCAGCAGAGGTGCAGAGAAAGATTGTCTTAACAGGTGCAAAAAGCTTTCCCTTGCTCCAAGTCGATGGTCTCATTATGTTATGTTTCATTCATATTCATTCATATCTTTCAATCCCAATGACTGGGAAGATGATGGAAGATGTGTTATCAACAGATGCTTCATGTGGAAGCCACCTGCCCGGCCGCGCCGAAGTCTCTGAGGCCGGTTCCATCGCAGGGTGAGATCGACTGCTACCACACCCACTTGTTGGATAGTTTCAAGGAGACCTTTGACAAGCACAAAGCGGCGTATGGCTGGTCACAGAAAACTCTGATGATCGTCTAGTAACAGCCAACCGCTGATCAAGATGAGATCTAATTTATCACCAGCTACACAGCTGTTTGCACGGGATGTCTGTGTTAGCTGGGAACGTCGCCTTCTTTGGAACAGTTAAGAGGTTTTCAGCCTTGCAATCGAACATCTTCGTCACTCAGTAGATGAACTTCCTTGACTTCCCAGCATAGATGATCCTGAGGTTGACCTTGTGTCAACGTCTACACAGTCTTACAGTCTTACACATCAATCTACGGGTGAAAATTCATGAAATAAACATACGTAATACAACATATTACAAACAAAGACAACAAAGATACAATCTTCTAGCTTGAAAGCTGGTCAACCTCTTGGTGATGTCTTTTTCTCAGGGCCACATCTTTTCCATGTCCTGAGTCAGAGTCGTTTTGCTTCACCCAGTCATCCAAAAAGGGCGGAGGCGGAGGGTGGCAGTAGAACCAACCATTTGCGTTTGGGAAGAGGTGGGCATTGTATGGCGTGTGAAGAGATCGGACTTGAAACGTGTAGAGGTGGAACGAACACCGATAAGAACAATTATAACAAACATATACAGATCATATACAAACAAATGTCGAGCTACTTGACTTACTTGACTGCCCAGTGTATATAGATGTATATAGTATATCAATATTAGTATTATATCCATCAGTTTACTTGTCTGAGAAAGATATACAAAGACAAAGGTAGTACATCGCAATGCATCCGTGCCGTGAACCATCTCCAAGAGATGTATACAGGAGTTCGATCCTTTCAATACTGGTTTTGGATAATTCCAAGTCTTAGAGCAAGCATGCATTCCTTTCAAGAGCAAAATTGAGTCGACATATTGATCATAACTCTAGCCCAAATCTACCTAGAAAACAATCAGAGGGACACGAAGCTGCGTGGGGCGATTGAAAAACGCCAGGTTCTTTTCTATGATCCCAAGCGATGACATGAGTTTTTAAAAGGATTAGAATTGTGGCGGAAGTGGGAAATAGGTCCAGCTTATAGAGATCCACATCGAGAGGATTTCCGTCAATTCGTGACCTTGCAGAATACCAACCATTTTTTTGCAAGCTTGTTCAATGTCAGTGTTTCATCCACAACCCTCCTCCGGACGACAGGTTCAGTGCCCAGCTGGTGTAGCAAGCTTGCAGGTGCATGGTTCGGCATGGTTCGGCGTTCGTCAGCTCTCACCGATAAGGTTGAGGTCTTTCCATTCTTTCCACCTCTGACCTCCGCCAGGTGCTTGTCGCTTCCTCTTCCCTTTCAATGTCCGGAGGACAGGGCGCTTTGGATGAAACATCGTAACTCGTGCCATGCCAGCGAGATCCCAGAAACCAAAAAGCGTTCCCTCAAAATCACTCAAAGATGTTGGTTTATCATCATGAGACGAACTCATTATGTTATGTTACTTTTTCTCACCGTTGATTAATTTGTTTCCATTGCCTTGCGGAGTTTTGCGTGCAGCACTCAGAGCATCAGGCTGCAAAAATGAGACAAACCCACTTGCAGATGTTGAATCAACGTGCTTGCAGCCACAGGATCCTTCATCACAGTTGTAACCTGGGACTTGGACGTGCCCTGCACCATGTGCAGCAGAGGGCAGTGGCCGGCTGCACCCAGAGATCCAGGGTTTGGGGCACCCACGACATTGACGACCACGTGCCATCATAGAGACCTGTTCCAGTTTCCAAACACAAGAATCGTCAAGAATTGTCCCAAGCACCAGGGTAGCCTGGTTGCATGTGCCCATACAACCAGAAATCCTCTATACTATGAATGGCATGATTGCATCCAATTCGAGGAGTTTGAACTGTGGCCATCAGGGCCACCGCTACTTGAGACCATAAGTTGGGTCACAACCCCGGTGAGAACCCATGAAACATCATGAAACTATCATCATCAGCTACGAGTGGAACTTCGGTCTCTGAGGCGCAGCATGCCCACAGCCAGGAAGCACATCGCAGGCATTTCGGGTGGTGAGGCATAATTGTACTTCAAAGCATTTCAAAGCCAACGAAAGCACTGCTGATATGGACTTCCCTGAATAAAAGATGTATCCCTACTACAGTGGTTTGGAGGGTCACGGCTTAGGAGGGTTGAAACTTAAGACATAACAGAACACACACGCCGCCACCCAGTTTCAGCTAGGAAAAGATGCGCATTGTGCTCAGTTGTTGTGCTTCAAGTTTCAATAAAAGTATTCCAGAATGGAAGAACCATCCAGCAAGCAGTTTCAATTGTTCCCCAGGTTTCACTCCCATTTGCTCCCTTTGAATTGTACAGTAATCGTCTACGCCTGCTGGACTCCTACTTCATCCTACTTCCATCCATTCAAGCCGTCTGAGCCACGACAGGCTGGAGAGTGAAGTGAGTGTTGCCAGCGTCCCACGTCAAAAGGCAGGGCGCCTTTGCACAGCCCGATCCAATGTGACAGATATGCTGCATATGGATATGCTTAAAATATCTTAAAATATTTAGAACTTGCTTAAAGACAATGTCACCACGTCCTTCAAACATCTTCAAACCACTTGCCATATGTGGGATCACTATATCTGACGTTACCTGTGTCGTTACCTGTACTACCATATGCTACCTGACTCATTTTTTCCTCCAGGTGCGCATCTCGCGGCAGCGGCTCCTGGACAGTGCCGTGAATGGCTCAGAATTTGCTTCACACTTCACGCTTCGCACGTCAGCTGCGCTCACGTCATCTCAGCTGGAGCGGTCAACCGGTCAACCAACACACAAGGGGGAGAAGATGGGAGAAGAATCTTAAGTGTATTAAGTGTGTTATTTGGATTTTAATTTAACCAAATTTACTACTTAAGTGGTTAATGAGAAGGATCTGTCCTTGGAACTGCCTTCCCAATCGCTTTTGCAAGGTGAAAGTGATGAACCTGTACTCTTCTGGCAATGCTGTGTGGGGAAACTCAAGCAGACACAGCAAGCAGTATTGGAGTCAGCTGCGGGAACACAGATAGAATACAATCTGCTGAAAAGAGATATGGCAATGCCAAGTGTCACTGCCGTTTTTGGCCTAATTTCCATGGTCGTTTGGATTCCATGGACAGCGAACTAGTGATCATGATTGGAGTAGCTACGCAGCTTTAGACCTGTGTGAAATTCTCATGTTCTACTTGGGCGTGCTGTTGTGGTGTTGTCCACTCCCCAAGTTCCAGCCCCGAGGCTCGAAATTGAATACGTTGGAGAGGCACCACCAGCCTGTCCCGAGTGATTTCGATTCATTTTGCACGGTGCAAGGAGAGTAGAACTTGGCTGCTCTGGGTGAAGGTAGGGAAGATGATCCCTTTCTCAACATTCATGGATGAAGCCTCGACACCAGGAAGAAAACCCTGCTTCCAAAAGAGAGAACGGTGAGAGAATGAACAAATATGAGCAGTCAGAGGCATCCTGTAGTCTGCCTGCAGTAGTACAAACAGAAAATCAAAGAACAGCAATTCTACCCCATCCATGAAGTCCTGTGCAACCTGCTGATTCTTCTTGGATAACTATGCTGAGTCCAGGTTGGCACTGGCTCCGGTCCCACCTTGGAATTTTACGCTCAAGTCTCTGAGCATTTGAGGCGCATTGCCTTCAGCTTACATTCAGTGGAGATCAGTGGAGCCACTGGATCAAGCGGAATCTGACGCCATCAAGTCATATCAATTCAATGTTCTGACATGTTCTGATAAAGTACTGAATAGATCTGAATAGATCTGAATAGATCTGAATAGATCTGAATAGATCTGAATAGATCTGAATAGATCTGCACAGATCTGAATAGATCGGATAGAATGTCACCGACTCACTATGTTTCCGCTGTCCTCGGATAATCCATCGTGCTGATCTGTTCCGAGTCTCGCTGGATAGCCTGGAAGCGGCCAGCACATGAGCAGTTTGAGCGGTTTGAAGTTGCAGTGACCAGTACCATGTTACCACCCCACCACCAGTGATTGATGGATTGTAGCGATGTGTTGTGCCAGGACATCAACGCCTACGCTCTTCCGCAAAAATGTGCCTGCGGGCATGTCGGGGCCTGGCAGAGACAGCTGTGGGAAAATCCTGCTGGAGTTGTTGTTCGTCTCAGATCTGGGCGGCCCTGTTTCGCAACGGGTTGAGAGGTCCCCTAAAGAAGGAAACCAGGAAACGGACTGCCAAATAAATAGTTGCAGTAATTACAAAGTTACAAGATGTTACAAGCATCCAAAGCTACAGTAGATTGGCAACTTCTGTGCGAGGGACGTGTCAGGGCCTGATCAACTTTGAGCTCTGATGGCTCTGATCATTTACTTCTTGAATTTGAGGCTGTTCCCGGCTCCTTGTGATCCTCAATGGCTCCGAGTAGCTGCAGATCCGGCCCCTGTCCAACACGGGAAGTGGGTTGGGGATCGATGATCAGAGCATCTAATCGAATCTAATCCACTGTTTGAAGCATGATTCACGACATGACCCAGTATTTACCCGGTAGTGTATGATGAAGTTAGGTTCATCAAGTATGGAAGATCCAAGCAGAAGTTTACACATCGCTGTCAGCCAGACACTGGAAAAACCGCCCAGCAAGGCTGCACAGCAAATCCTGGAGAGATTCAGGCGGAGCTTCAATGCATTCGATGGCAAATCCGCAGTGAAAATGCCCTTTGAATTCAATTGATACACTTAGAATATCTTAGAATCACTATGAATCACTTAGATATTGCCTGATTGATTCTGATTGCGGTCCATTTCCGAGATTGCCACCTGCTCCGGCCAAAGGCTGTTGGGACAAATCGTAGCCAAATGCATCATCGACAACCGCCTTGTGGATATCCAGTGAACAAGCTCAGACACGACACGCGTGTTGAGAGAGAAAATGGTTTGTGTATGTTTGTGTGACATCTGAATACAGCTCAATACATCTCAATAGAAAAAAGATCAAAAAAGCATTTACTGACATTTACTGACCAAATCCAGGATGAACTCTTAGTCGGACATAGTCGGACACATCATGGGATGCCAAGGCTTCATCCCGCATTTTGGAGATCCGTCCTTGGCCAGTGGAACCCAGAACGCAGTCAACGCAGTCCCGGCGAAGACATGCGTTCAGATCACTGAGATCAAGAGCCAAATCGGTTGGTTAGAAGAGTCAAATCAGATGAATCAGATGTTAGATAATTTGAAGCATCGCCTCCGCCAGTAAATCTCTTCAGTGGGATGGCAGTGTTGAGCGCCATTTTGCAGCGTTTGATCTTGGACGACGCTGCGGTTGGCAATTGAAGTACGTGGCACCGAAGAATCTTCCTTGAATTTCTTTGAAAACGTGATACTAAGTGTAAACAAGACATAGTCCGCTCTTGCATCGATGAGCCATCATTTTCTTGATAAAGCCAAAAACAGTGCGCGACAGTGCAATATAGTGCCCTTTTTTTGTTGCCGATGATTCGATGATTGTTCCATGATGCTTCTCTGAGGCACCGCGCCTCTTTCCCAAGAATCGCTCCGTGCCGTTGATCCAGAGGCCTAAAAACTCCGGGGCTTGGACAAGACCGTGCCACCCCACCCTGCCACAAACATATATAATAATTACTGTATAATACATGAGTATGAAATGTATGGAATGTATGGAATGTATGGAATGCTGAACGGGACAGCAGTAGAACTTGTAGAGTTTATCGATGCGACACCAATAAACACACCAATACAGTTTGTGTGTTGAAGACACGTGGCCCACATGGCTCTGACACTCGCCAGTTGTATTCCTCGCTGACCAACATTCGTGACATGGACAGCAGCAACGTGGAGCAGCTTTGTTTGGACTTCACCCTACCAGGCCGCAGAAACGAAACCGCTGGACTTTGTGGTTCACCTTTCATGCCACCCATCTCTGTTTCTTTTTTGGAATGTGATTTGAACCTGTGGAAACAGGGGTGCTTCCTAACAGCTTCCAGCTTCATGTCGTAAATTGTCACAGGTTTGATATGCTTGACTGGTTGCAATTTGGACTCAGTGGAGCTGACAGGACATCCCCAAATTGAGCTGAAGCCTGGTGGAAGCAGCATCAACGTCACAGGTGGGAGATCCTGGACCAAAACGAATGGAAACCGGGTGGAAACCGGGTGGAAACCACGTGCGGGTGGAACATGTAATGAACATGTACTGTCTCTATCTGTCTCTGAATGTTCGAGCTGAATCTAAGATGCCCAGCAAGATGCTGCAAGTGAAATCCAGGACGTCTGCAAAACTGGCAGGATATGATAACATAACATAGACCCGGGCAAGCCGGCGGCGGAAGTTTCCCAAACATAAATGACCTATAGTTCAAAGACAACCTGTCCCGACCGTGTCCTTCCCTCGACAACCGTTTGATTTTTTCAGCGAGAGACGAAGCAAAGTCTTCGCACTCCACACTCCACACTTCACACTGCACTTTTCGCACTCCAAACTTGAAACTTCACACTCCACACTTCACACTTCACACTTCGCACTTCTCACTTCCCACTGCTTCCTTCACACTCCAAACCTCACACTTCACACTTCACACTTCACACTGCGCGCTTCGCACTCCAAACTTAAACTTCACACTCCACACTTCACACTTCACACTTCTCACTTCCCACTGATTCCTTCACACTTCACACTTCACACTGCACTCTTTACGCCCCACACTTCACACTGCTCTAAGCCTACGTGCAACAAGACAACACTAGTGCCAAAATGGAGAAAATCTGCTAACAAATTTATTTCGTAGCCTTCATGCAGCCACTCCAAGACGATTTCCGAGATCCAGCTGCAAAAGACAATAGTATTACAAATGCAGCCACAGCACGAAGCAACCTTGACGCAGCCATTACAATGCGATCTGCAGAGACTGAGTTGCAAAACACAATAGAACTACGCGCAACGGCGTCGGAAATTGTAGCTCCAAAACCGGATCTCGACGCCAGAGCGAAAAAAAAAAGACGATTTTGAAGCACTTTTTAAAAGGATTTTTAGAAGGAAAATCACTAGCGCCAAAATGGAGAAAATCTGCTGACAAATCACTGTCGCAGCCTTCATGCAGCCACTCCAAGACGATTTCCGAGATCCAGCTGCAAAAGACAATAGTATTACAAATGCAGCCACAGCACGAAGCAACTTTGACGCAGCCATTCCAATAGGATCTGCAGAGACTGAGTTGCAAAACACAATAGAACTACGCGCAACGGCGTCGGAAATTGTAGCTCCAAAACCGGATCTCGACGCCAGAGCGAAAAAAAGACGATTTTGAAGCACTTTTTAAAAGGATTTTTAGAAAAAAAATCACTAGCGCCAAAATGGAGAAAATCTGCTAACAAATCCATGTCGCAGCCTTCGTGCAGCCACTCCAAGACGATTTCCGAGATCCAGCTGCAAAAGACAATAGTATTACGAATGCAGCCACAGCACGAAGCAACTTTGACGCAGCCATTGCAATAGGATCTGCAGAGACTGAGTTGCAAAACACAATAGAACTACGCGCAACGGCGTCGGAAATTGTAGCTCCAAAACCGGATCTCGACGCCAGAGCAGAAAAAGTTGAGTTTTGAAGCGTTTTTTATAAAGAATTTAAATAAAAAATGAAAGCAGGCAAAATCTGAAAGAATCAAGCTGCAGCAAGTTCACGCAGCCATTACAATGCGATTAGCAACAATCCCTAGCAAAGCACAATGGAATTCCATCGGCAACTCCTCCACCAGCACCACTCGCAATGCCATTTGCATTGCGGGAACGATCCTACAGTTGCAAATCACAATGGAATTCCATCGGCAACTCTCCACCAGCACCACTTGCAATCCCATTTACATTGCGGGAGCGATCCTACAGTTACAAATCACAATGGAATTCTGTCGACCGCAAATGCACGAAACACAGGTGAAACCCCATTTACAATGCGGAACCGATCCGAACATGATCCGAACATGATCCGAGAATGATCCGACCACACACGAGACCGTCTCGCAACCGTCGCACCGCAGAGGTAGATCATCGAGGTTCGGGGACGGATTTTGTATGGAAAAACATAGGCTTTCGTGCATCTGCTATCTCTCAAAAACGCATTTCGTGCGAGACTTCCTTCAAAACTCCATCGGCAACTCATCCACCAGCACCACTTGCAATCCCATTTACAGTGAGGGAACGATCTTAGAGTTGCAAATCACAATGGAATTCCACCGGCAACTCATCCACCAGCACCACTTGCAACCCCATTTACAATGCGGGAACGATCCTACAGTTGCAAATCACAATGGAATTCTGTCGACCACACATGCACGAAAAACAGTTGAAACCCCATTTACAATGCGGAACCGATCCGAGAATGATCCGAGAATGATCCGAGCATGATCCGAGCATGATCCGACCACACACGAGACCGTCTCGCACCCGTCGCACCGCAGAGGTAGATCATCGAGGTTCGGGGACGGACTTTGTATGGAAAAACATAGGGTTTCGTGCATCTGCTATCTCTCAAAAACGCATTTAGTGCGAGACTTCCTGCAAAACTCCATCGGCAACTCCTCCACCAGCACCACTTGCAATCCCATTTACAGTGAGGGAACGATCCTAGAGTTGCAAATCGCAATGGAATTCCATCAGCAACTCATCCACCAGCACCACTTGCAACCCCATTTACAATGCGGGAACGATCCTACAGTTGCAAATCACAATGGAATTCTGTCGACCACACATGCACGAAAAACTGTTGACACCCCATTTACAATGCGGAACCGATCCGACCATATCCGCCCATGATCCGAGCATGATCCGACCACACACGAGACCGTCTCGCAACCGTCGCACCGCAGAGGTAGATCATCGAGGTTCGGGGACGGACTTTGTATGGAAAAACATAGGCTTTCGTGCATCTGCTATCTCTCAAAAACGCATTTCGTGCGAGACTTCCTTCAAAACTCCATCGGCAACTCCTCCACCAGCACCACTTGCAACCCCATTTACAGTGAGGGAACGATCCTAGAGTTGCAAATCACAATGGGAATTCCATCGGCAACTCATTCACCAGCACCACTTGCAATCCCATTTACATTGCGGGAACGATCCTACAGTTGCAAATCACAATGGAATTCTGTCGACCACAAATGCACGAAACACAGGTGACACCCCATTTACAATGCGGAACCGATCCGAGAATGATCCGAGAATGATTCGAGAATGATCCGACCACACACGAGACCGTCTCGCAACCGTCGCACCGCAGAGGTAGATCATCGAGGTTCGGGGACGGACTTTGTATGGAAAAACATAGGGTTTCGTGCATCTCTATCTCTCAAAAACGCATTTCGTGCGAGACTTCCTTCAAAACTCCATCGGCAACTCATCCACCAGCACCACTTGCAATCCCATTTACATTGCGGGAACAATTTCTTTGACTAACTCGTTCCCTAACGAACTCTTTCTTTGCTAACTCTTTCTTTGCTCTTTCTTTGACTAACTCTTTCTTTGCTAACTCTTTCTTTGACTACCTCATATATCCTGACTAACTCTTTCTTTGACTAACTCTTTCCCTCACCAACTCTTTCTTTGACGAACTCTTTCCCTCACTAACTATTTCTTTGACTAACTCTTTCCCTCACTAACTCTTTCTTTGACTAACTCTTTCCCTGACTAACTGTTTCTTTGACTAACTCTTTCTTTAACTAACTCTTTCCCTGACGAACTCTTTCTTTGCTAACTCTTTCTGTGACTAACTCCTTCCCTCACTAACTCTTTCTTTGACTAACTCTTTCCCTTACTAACTGTTTCTTTGACTAACTCTTTCTTTGACTAACTCTTTCCCGCACTAACTCTTTCTTTGACTAACTCTTCTTTGACTAACTCTTTCTTTGACTAACTCTTTCCCTGACGAACTCTTTCTTTGCTACCTCTTTCTTTGACTAACTCTTTCCCTGACATTCTAAAAGTCCGTAACACGGAAGTTTCTCCCCCTAAACTTCCTTTGATGATAACATTCTGTCATATTCTGTCATATTCTGTTCATCAACCTTACGAAGTGTCTTCAAATGTCTTCAACATTTTGCCAGGCGAGAATCGTGCAGAGTACCTGCGCCGCGTTGTGGAGGTGCAGCTGCCTCTTCTGGGGTCTCTATAGGAATGGGGGGATGAACAGTGAGTAACAACGAACATCCACAAGGACCATCCAGTGGGCGCTAGAACGTGAATTGCACCCTTGAATGCTTTTTCAGATTCAAATCTGGAGGATTTTTATGGATTTCCGACATCAGAAATGGCATGCAATGGCTATCACTGTTTTGTCCTTCTTGATTTCTCGCTTGCGCCACAACGATCCCCAAAGGTGACGCTGGTTGAAGCCGTGGCGCCACAACTGGATGCCTTCCGCTCCGTGCAGCTCTTACAGAAACATCACCTTTTTTTGGGCATTTTGCAGATCACATGATGATCATCTGATGATCATCTGATGATCACATATTTTCTTTTGCAATTCTTTTGCCTTACGTGATACCCTCAGGCCTTCAAGGAGCTTCTTCCCGTTGAGACGTGCCGCATTTGGTCTGAGCAGGACCGCGCCACGAGACCCCTTGAATGAGTTGTGACATGTTGTGGCCTTACCCTGTGCAGTTCCTCCAGAGTACCAGGAAAATTCAGGAACCATTAGGAACCACTGTCAAGATCTGTCAATTGGTCTTAAGTTCAAACAAGATTTGTATCTCAGCAACAGGGACTTGAGATGACTTTGAGATTTGATGCCAGATGCTTTGCGTGCAGCCCGCTTGGCTTGGTGTGTGTACATTTACTTACTGTACGAATCTGCATTGTTGGGTGGCTTGCGAGGAATTGGCCTTCATCATTGTGGGCTCTTCGGTGCAAGAGGATTCTTTCTGGAACATGGAACACCTCTCATCTAAGATCAAGGCGCAAGCAAGCGCTGTGCGCATGGCCGCATGGCACAACTAGTGTGCTTCTGAAACGTTCTACCGGACCAAACAAACACACCAAGAAGGGCAGACAAGGAGAGCAGACAAGTTTGGAGGGTCAGTCCAGGTGGACCCACCATTCATGGAAATCTATGGAAACATTATCCTCACTGAAGAACCACCCATAGTCAGCATATTGAGGTGTCCAACAACTTGGACTAACTTGGCAGTGACCCCAAAACTGTTGGCCGATTTGCTGAAATATACCATCAATCAAGCCAAACCACCAAACACATCTCAGCACCTTGCAATATTGGAACCGAAGTACCTTGAATCCTTCTGTCGCCAGGCTCAACATGGTTACACCGCTGATTCGAGGCACCATGGAACTGGGGAGCTGACAGGAACGAACACCGGGAGGTTGTTGGGTGTTGGCCACAGGTGCTTCACAGATTTGCTCACCTTCCTGGCGGGGCTCTCTCCAGACAACAGGCCACGCTGTGATTACAGAGCCAACAACGCACATGCCTGGCTTGTCGTATAGTGTAAATATGTCAAATCTGTGTAGAGTGTAAAGTCCTGTAGGTCGGATAGAAATTATACCCAATCCAGCTGCACACTCAAGACTGGATAGGTCGGATAGGTGTTTCTTCCTGAGAGATCACAATTCGTCTGACATGAACTGCCGACTCTTTGAGCATCCGCACAAGACTGGCACAACAGGCGAAACTTCCTGATGTTCGCCACTGGTTTGCTACTCAGATTACTCAGCGTTGTTTGCATATGAGTATGGAACGCTCTGAAAGATATTGATGAACTAGTGACTAGTGTTTTAGATTCTAAGTTCAATTATGCAGTGCAGTATATTGCAGAATACCCCCCCAATGTTTCAATGTTGTGTCTCTCTGCGCACGCCCCAGCTACCTATCAATGCTGTCATCATTCCAAGTGGTGTCCCAGGTGCTCCAACACTGCCTTTGGGAGGCTTTGGAGGTCTCAAGCCTCCCTTAACCGTCGTCAAAAAGGCCGCCTACCTGGGATTTTTTGGGCAAAGAATAGCAAGGATCATTAGCTGATGGCCATTGGCAAAGGAACTGATGAACATGGACATGGCATATCATTAAGTATCGACTCAATCCCACAAATCGAGAGGCAGAGAGATATTGAACTTGCAATTGTAGAGAGTCCGATGTCCGGACACTCTTTCAGGGTCAGTTCTATCATTCTTAAACAAAGAAGCGCAAGCGCAACACAGGCTGTTGTTTTGCTGCATAAGCAGCCCCTTTGGAACTTTGCTTTTCAATGACATCGTTTTTGCCATTTTACCTCTGACCATTTTCAGGTAGGAGACTGGGCAGGTCTACTTCAAACAGTTTTTTTCAGCTGAAAAAGATCCTGCAGCATGACAATTTCCAGCGGTTACCTGTTTAATCTGTTTACCCCTACTCCAACTGCACCTTCCAGTGAGGAAGCTCCACCTGCACCGCTGACGCAAGACTGGCTCTCTTGATGCAGATCTGCATGGCATGGCTCCTGTTCGGTGCTATTTGTGCGTTTCCAACTGGGGTGATGATCCAAAATTGGCTCACCGATCATTTTCAAGTTGAAATTGCCAACCAGTTTCAATGATTTTCTGCCGCGTCGCCAGGCCAGATGACTTTATGCCATCAGTGATGACCTGTGCCAACTATTTGAAGCTGCCAGAGTGAGCCTTGCAGGAACCCCATTTCTTGGACATACCATATCCGGAAACAGACCGGTAGTTCCAGTGCAGCTTTTTGTATCTTTTTGTTGTTTTACTTTCTGGCGAGTCTTTGACTTGTGTTCTTTCTGTCAAATGTACAAACTGACACGCAAGAACAATGGTTTCAGCTTGGAAGCAGTCCTCAGATGCATGAGGCATCCCAGTTCAAGGCTTGCAGGTTTTGCCAGGAAAGCCCAGAAGTCGGGCAATTCCAAGAATTCCAACATGCAACCTTGCGAGAAACATCGAAGTGCCAGGTACAGCAGCTTTGAGATCCTCAAGCAGAAGTTGGACCTGGCAATGCGAGAGGGGTCGGGGCCAAAGTGGTCGACTGCCCACTTTGCATCGTAAGTCTGCAGACATATGCAGAAGCTTTCGCCGTCAGCTTTCTTCACTGTCTCTGCGACCGAGGCAATGTGCTTTCCTCCTTTCGTAGTGTGCCAAATAGTAGGTGTGGTCCAACTACTGTGGTCCCATCGTCTCCTGTCAGTCATTTTGTCGTTCTCGATTCCCTTGATTTGAATAATTTTTGAATTGATTTGACAATATTTGACACATTTGGACGGAAAATCTGAAACGGCCCAGCACTACACGACCAGCCCCAACCGTCCCAACTTGGAGGTCAAATCGCTCGCCGAGAATCGAGATTTGAGTTGCTCGCCATGCGTAGGTAGGGCCCAATATGGCCCAATATTGGCTGGAGGACTGGAGAGGGATTTCACCATGGATTTCACCCAAATCCCATGGAATTCCACTTTCATCACTTTCCAACGGGTGTTTTTTACACAGTCCTCAAATCCTTGAGGCCGATTCGCCGTGATTTGATTCGCCCTTAAATGTGGCAAAGCCCGCCGTATCAAAGGCAGTGACCTGATGCATGAAGTCTATGGCAGGAAAAAACTTAAATGAACAGCACAAGTATGAACTTGGGGGTGCAGTTGAGGTTACTCTTATGTGTAACCATGGGATTTTAGCCCCCGCAAGTTGGGATAGAACCCTGACAGCTCTGGGGTTGTCTTGAAAGGTTTGGAATCTGGAAATCAGCGAAACTGATGGTATTGATGGAAATGTTTCGATGTGAAAAGGAGTTCAAGTAAGGATAAGTAAAGACACCCTCATGATGACTCAGCGAGGCCCAATATCGTACGGCCGGGCCCATGCTTTCTGCTTCACCGCATTTGATGTGTTCACTCAAAGTTGGTGCTTCGTTGATATGGGCGAATTGATTCAATGGTAAGATTTTTTTTAACCAGTGATATACTGATATACACAAACCAGACCTTTCGCACTATGGAAAGTGTTGTTGGCGCACTTTGTCCAAGAACCCAATTTAATTTGATTTCCGCAAGACCAGTCAAATCAGTGTGTTGCCGCAAAGAGGAAGTTCTGAAAAACACGAGAATGTACTTATATATCGAAAGAATACCCAGCTCATCACCATTGCTGCTTTCGCCATGGGCGCTGCAGCTGCAGCTTCGGCACGCAAGCGTGCCATAGAAGCATCTTGGTGTCCAAAGGCTATGTTGGCAGTCTGGATTTGTGAGCAACAAATTGGAAGTTGTCCAACCCTTCGCAATTTGAGTGTGGCTGTGTTTGGCAGCAAATCTTCTATCTTGTTGCATCTAGCCGCCGGAAACCTTACTGCATTTGGGCGAACTTGGGTTTTTGGAAGCACTTGTTCATCGTACGAGCCCTGGAGATGTCATTAAAAATTGCCGGTGTAGAAAGGGCCGTGCAGGCAGTATAGCATGTTGAACCCTCCTTCGTGCTGGCGATGTCATGGGTAATTCGGGTATTCCTAGGCAATACCCAAAAGCCGCGAGTGTCTCTTGGCATTGTCCGGGGTAGGCCAGAGCAGAAAAAATGTGAAGGCAGATTATCAGTTGAAAGTAGAGTGTGGAAAACTAGAGGTGTCTTACCATACAAGGGGCTTCGCTGTCTTCATTGCTTGCATCTGATGCAACCACATGCTGCGAATCCCAAAACATGAAGCCGTCCCTTTTTTTACATGTCATGTGAGATGTGAGATGGAATATGATGCAATCGACACCCTTGCCGTTGCGCTCAGCACAGCTCGCAGGAGCTTGGGAAGATAAAATCTTGGATGGGTCGATGGCCATTGGCGCGACCGGAAGCATCGACACGTCTACTCCTCGTGCCTCGTCTCCAAAAGGTTTCGGCTTAAGCCTGGAACCATGAAAGCCTGCGGCAGCCATGACCGGAAGTTGGACATAGCAAAGCTGCAAAGCAAGGCATGTTGAGTCGAGTTCAGTTGAGTTCATGAATTTCAGCGTGGAACTAAATTCATCAAATTACATGGATGGCGACTTTGTGGCTCAAATCCCAAGTCCTAACCCAATATCACGAATTCCCACTTGCATGTTGCTATTCTGGAAAGCTAAGCAGGAGAATCCTTGGAATGCAGAATAAATCAACCATCCCCAATATTCAATACTTATTCTAATAGTAAACTATTGCCAATTTTATAGGGTATAAATGGGTGATAGAAGGCCGAAGACTTGCCTAACCCCGAACAACTCATTACTTGCGGGGTTAAGAATGTGGAATTGGTACGGGGAACGCCTCCAAAATTGAAGGTTTATGGCAGATTTCTCCTCTGAGGCTTCCACCGAAGCCTGTGAAGGTGAAGGTGGCAGATTGTGCTCCTGGCTACGCCAAGATGACAGCAGCTGCTGAATGGTTTGTGCAGGATGATATGCCAACGATCTACTACATTAGTGTCTCTGATGAAACTGGAAATATTTGGGATGGATTTGCAAGAATCGAAAAATATGGGGATGAGCAGTTTGTGCTTTGCTTTGTCTGCACCAAGTAGTGCTGACATTTGTGATGTTGCACACAGCCTCGCGGCTGAAACGCCTTCCCCAAACTTTCTAATATCAGCGATTTGACGGTCCTCTGAATTTCTCTATGTTTGCTACCAAATTAGACTATGCACTATAGCTTCGTTTCCGACTTTACAGACCCGTACTTCTTGATTCTATCCTCCCATCATCTCCCATCATCAGCTCACAGGTGAACATCCCTTGGATGCGGAGCTGCCAAAGTGGGAACGCGTCAAACCGCAAAACCCGCCCTGCTCTCCCAAGCTGATCGTGCCACCTGCAGAGATTCCCACCTCGTGGCTCGGTAATGGCACCTCTGAGTCTTGGGGGCCCTGGGGGTCTGGGGTGGACCACGGCTGATAAGATGCACTGTGCATCCCTCATGTAAATCCCGCAGAGCAAAAGGTTACTACATTTACTACTGGAAAAAACCCAGTGCCAGTGGACCAATGGACACTACTGATCCGCTTCTCTTTGCTGAGGACGCTGTACTTCACAGCCCGGACAGGCTTCAAAGGTGCTCCTACCCTCGAGATCAGGCATTGAGGGCTGGGATGGTGAGAGGACACCATATCTTTGCAGCAATGTAGCGTGGGTGTGGCATGTCTGGCTACAGATGCTATGCACGCAACAAGAACCAAACCTGATTTGACTCAAGCTATAAGTAAAGATGGATCATGTGGGAAAGTTTGGGAACTGTGGGGCCGCGCCAAGTTTCGCCCTGGTGGAAACTGCAGCGCTGCTGGGCCCAGGTCAGAAGACCTGCAACTGGCGCAAACTGCCAACTGGATCCCGCCTGAGGAAATCTCCATGAGAAAAATGGAGCACCGAATGGCTCGCTTTGCTCTTCCTGGTCAACCTAATGAGCTTGCCTGAAGCGGACGCCCCTCCGGCTTCCAGTCGGCTTCCACTGTGAATATGTTTGAAATTAGACAAAACCGGAGAGAACCGCTTTCTTGCAAGCGGCGTGAACACTGAAGGCAACTCCAGTTCCAGAAAGGTTTTGAGAGTTGTTTGTAGTCTTTACATGTCTTTACTGCATGTGTTCTGGAGACTACATACGCTCTTGCATACCATTTTCTGTTCTGCAAGTCACACGTCAAGAGAGTTTTTTTTTGGGTGTGATTCACACCATGCATTGATTGCCCCTATTAGTCCAGAAGTACGGATCATAAGTGAACTCACGAGATCATGCGATTGTTCTATTGGATTTGCAATTCGATCGACTCTCAACACGTGCAGAAGGCACTTCAGGTGCTCATCATGTGGTTCGTAATCGGGGTGGCTCAGAAATTGCTAGACACTCTTCCATGCACTCATCAGCACTGCAGATTCTCAATTGCACTTGCTCTATTTAAATACACTCGGATATACCCTCGGCAAATCTCTGCAAATAATATGTCGATCACCAAAAAATATGAAGTTGTGTTCGGGCTCTGAATGCAGTTGCTGATGCTGGCCGAAGGCTTTGATGATCACCGGACTAGTCAGGATTTTTCTCATTTTTGGGTTTTCATTTGGGCTTTCCCTGAAGGGGCCATGTTGGGGCCCTCAAATCATGGGATGCCCAAGAGTGCTCCGTGCTGAGCGATCTGAGCGGGGCCATGGTCAACGAGCGTTTTGGACGGATGACCCTTGGAGCTGGGTGTTCAACTTGGCATTTGGCCATGAACACATCCTAGCTCCATTGTGAGGCTTTTTCCATAGGCTGGAACTGCAGATCAAGAGGCATCTCCAATCATCTCCATTTCCTCGCAATCATCAAGCAACAAAGACCATGCCATGCACACCAAGGGGCCATGTTTTTTCCGCTTGGTGAAGGATTTGCCTTTTGGTTGTGGCCAGCCTTCCCAGCAACAACCATCTCCACCACTAAGAGCCATCTCCTGAGGTGATGACTAAGTTTCAGTGGGTTTATTTTGGGAGACTACCTATAGCAGGTGGCGGAAGAAGAGATTTGAAGCGTGATGGGGGACTGGAAGAAACCCAGAATTGTAATGACGGGAAAAGCTTAAAATCGTTTCCGTAGAAGATTGAAGGTATTGAAGTCACAGGGTAGTCACCACAACCGCTGGCTGATGGGGGAATGGCATTCGCAGCGAAGGCATCATTCATATTGGATTGCGCTTGTTTTCTAATGCGGGGCAAGGTGCTGTGCACTCGATGCCAGAACCTGAAATGTGGCTTGAAAGGGGTAGTTGGTCATGTTGGTGGGCCGTTCATTTGCCATCCATTGTTGAAGGTCTTTACCGCTGCGGTATGTTTAGGCTCAGAAAGTGAACCCTCCAGTTGAAAGGGTCCAGCTGTTGTCCTGGACCATGTCCTTCAAGGAGCAGGCCGTGGCTGTCTCCAGCTGTCTCCAGCAGTCTGCAGGGAAGTTCTTCAGTGCAGTTGCCAAAAAGCTCTGTTTTCATAGGAGGTGTTCAGGGCATAAGGATAAGAAAAATGGGTCACTGACTTCTTCAGTTCGATCCGAGGCCTTCTTTTGGTTCTAATTCGCCGAAAGTTATGAACAAACTGAACCGACCGGCCCAAGTTCTTGTCTCTCGTTTCCCCTATCTTTTCCCTCACAAATCAGGGTAACAACCCTTTCAACATGTCACAAATCAGGGATCTAAATGATCTAACAGAATCTAACAGGGATCTACCCAGCCCTCAGATTGTGGTGGACTGCCGGGGTCACCTTCTTGGTCGTTGGCATCTCAGAGTTATTTTGAAATTCCCAAGATCTTCAATTGATTTCTCCCAGGAGCCGTGTCTGTTGATCAACTTCCAATTTTCAGGGGATTTCAGAGATCACCTACAGGTTGGTGGTTGTGATTCCCCATGGTTCTGCTGATGTTCCAAGGCCTGGCTTCCGTCCTTGCAAAGGAGCTGCTGAACGGTCAGCAGGGGACTCAGCAACTGCGACCACTGCTTGGATGCGAATCCCAGGAATCGCACGTGATTCATAATCATGGGTACAACATGGTTACAACTTACATATCCTGGTTGTTCCTTCCGCCCTGCTGTTCGCGCGCATTTTCGAAGTCGTTTTCCCCATAGAAATAAAAGGGTTTTGTGTGTTCCAACCCATTAAACGCAGTGTTTCGTCAGGGTCGGCATGGGGTGGAGTGGGCTGGGGATGTTAACGTTCATGTTAACATGCGGCACATGCGCAACTGACGTCACGTCACTGGGTTGGGGTGGGGTGGGGATGTTAACGTTCATGTTAACTTGCGGCACATGCGCAACTGACGTCACGTCACTGGGTTGGGGTGGGGTGGGGATGTTAACGTTCATGTTAACTTGCGGCACATGCGCAACTGACGTCGCGTCACTGGGTTGGGGTGCGGTGGGGATGTTAACGTTCATGTTAACTTGCGGCACATGCATCACTGACGTCGCGTCACTGGGTTGGGGTGGGGTGGGGGATGTTAACGTTCATGTTAACTTGCGGCACATGCGCAACTGACGTCGCGTCACTGGGTTGGGGTGGGGTGGGGATGTTAACGTTCATGTTAACTTGCGGCACATGCGCAACTGACGTCGCGTCACTGGGTTGGGGTGGGGTGGGGATGTTAACGTTCATGTTAACTTGCGGCACATGCGCAACTGACGTCGCGTCACTGGGTTGGGGTGGGGTGGGGATGTCAACGTTCATGTTAACTTGCGGCACATGCGCAACTGACGT